TTCTTATTAATATGTATGCAATTTTATAATTATAATGCTAAGTTTATTGTCTTTCAGGCTTGGGAGTAGAAACCAATATTTATAATTGACAATAACCAAATGAATACCAAGTTCTTGCTCAATATAAATTTCCTATATGAATTAGACTTATACTAGCATTGTTGATAGTTTTTGTTTTCTAAAAAAAATTTTTTTCTATCCTAGTCAATAGCAAATAAGTAAAATAAAATCTAACATCAATTGTCTTTTTGACAGTTAATAATTTTCCTGTGCTTAAAAAACAAATCTTAATTTGCTTTTTATAATTTCTTATTTAAAAGAGGGGACTCAATTTTTGTAAACGACCGGATATTTAGAGGCTCACTCTCCACTATCATAATAACTATCCAAAATGTAATCTTTATAGAATTTGTCTGTAAGAATTGAAACTGACCAACTTGTCAGTTTCTTACACCTAAAATAACGGCTTTAAGTAGATAAGCAATATAGTCACTTTTAGTTCAAAATATCTTCAGATGAGGACTTAAATAAAAAGTTAAAAAATAATAAAATGGACAGTTTATAATATTAAACTTTAGTTAATAATTTGTGCATAGGAATCTTTAAATTCATTGTATTGTTTGATTTTTAGCTACTCAGAATAGATAATGCACTATGATTAACCACATAATTTTTTTAAGTTGAGTAATATGAAGATGACTTTTAAATGTGCAGCACAGTACCAGTTGTTCTATTTTCATTAATTGTCATGTATCTTGCCATGTCCTTTATCTGCTTGTGAATTTACAAGGAGCACAGCAGGTTTTGAATTTTTAATAGGCTTTCCTCAAGGAAAGGAAAGGTCAGTATTAGCATAAAATTCTTCTTAAAGATTTGTGGCACAAATGTTTCACACCGGAGAACAGGTGTTACCAAAGAACTAAAGCCACAAAATCTGATTTTTTTTAATGTTTAAAGAAAACTTAATGTTTCATGCAATAAAATAGCACAAGGTCAAATCAATATAAAAGTTCTTTCAAATTAGATGTTGTAAGTTATTTGACACATCATCCGTAATTTCACTTCTCAATAACAAAAAGAATGGGTTTTATGAAAAGCTTACTAAATCCAAATATTGGAACTACTCTTCAAGTATCAAGGGAGAGTCATATAAAAGCTGAAGTTGGAAGTACAAACCATTCTGTGACTTAGTAAATATGTAAATATGAAATAAATTTCTATCACACATACACAGGAGATACCAGGACAATAGTAGAAAAAGTATGAAAATGAAGAGCCAATGAAATCAAGTGAAACTTGAAAAATGAGTGAGAGTTTAGACAAAACAGTATGAATCAATAATTTAATCCCTATATTTCTATAACCCTTTGAAAATCAACATCTATATACTGTTAAGATTTAGCTCCATCACCCTGAGACTTCATCTTAGGAAGTTTCACAGTGTGTGGTTCAATCGGCAATATTCTGCTATCTATAGTAAAGATAGAATATTGCAGTAATTCAAATTTAAAAACTAGTTTTATAAAAAAAATTTTCAAACTGGTATGTTATAATTTTGACTATATGAATAGAACAGGTTTTAATAATTTCTGTTTTGTCTATGTCCTACACTTCAATCTATGTATATATACCCAGTGTTCCTTATGAATTATAAAATTGCCAAATCCAAAAAGATCTGTTTTTCATTCAACAGTTTAGATATAATTTTTCCTCTATTTATTTTAATTGAAGCGCTGTGTCTTACAAAGTGATTATAGTTGAGTTTCAGGCACACTACATTGAAGCACTGATCCCACCACCAGTGTCAACTTTCCTCCGCTAATGTTCCCAGGTATTATATGATTAAGGAAATCTTCACATGTTTTTATGATCTGGTTTAGGGCTGTTCTGTGAATTTCAGAACAGTATTCTGATCTTCGATAGGACTAGAATAAAATTGTTGATTTATTTTAATCAATACTTGATTTTTATGATAGTACATAATTAGTTCTCTGTTAAAATTACTGAATTGATAGATACTTAACATCATAAATCATGAAGGTGTCAGATTAAAGGATTGCTCTTCTCAATATTTTCTCATGAATTACTTTATTTCCAGATGAAACAAAGCATATTAAGTTCATCTCCCATTTGGAAAATTGCCACCATGTTTTCTCATTTCTATGAACATTTATATTATCCCAGGAGCAATATACATTTCCAGTGTCTGTAAAAAACATGTTTTGTGACTTGAGTATGGTTCTCTGGACAAAATAGCGATGTATTAATTCTGAGAGCTTTTTTTGCTAAAAGAAAAAGAAAATAATCTCAACTACACTGAGTTGTTTATGATTAAGTAAATATGCAATCAAAAATTATCTTTACCTAGCACCCATTTTCTTTAAATGGAGTATTTATTTGCAATTTTATGAAAAATTGGTAGAGGATTTACAGTAGTTTTATTTGTCCAGAAGTCATAAAAATGAGTTTGACACACAATTGATGACTCAATGTCAATCATTAGAAATACTTACCCAGAAATTAAACTCCTTTGTGGACTTACTTTGGTATATATTTTGTGTACATATATAAAAATTGATATATGCACAAAACTTTGATATATGTGTATATATGAAGATAGTTATTTAATTTTAACAGTTTTATGTTCATATAAAATTATTTTTACACTCAAGTTTTTGGTAGATCCTTTCATAAAAGAAGAAAGCTGCATTCTATTTTAAGCAAAAGTATTATGTACTATGTTTAAATATAGTTAGATTAAAATATGTATTCATGTAAATTTTCTAAAGAGAAAAATCCAAGCCTATATAGATTAATAGATGTAATTATTTCAAGTTGAGGGTTATGTCTTCCATGTTTCATTTCTCTAGATTACAGATCGGTTGTTCTCTTCTTATTTATTACTAAGCTGATGAGTATTAAAAGGAAAACACATTCATGAAGATATCTAGGCTTTAAATGCATGATAGTTATTTAGATAATCTACATCTTATCAAATAAGAAAGAGAAAATGACATAATCTCCTACTGAAAATCGCAAAACAATGAGTCTAGCACCAGAAAAGATTTGCTGATTAGTTTTGCTGATTTCTTTATGACTAAAGAAAAATATGTGAACGTCACATCTTGCTAAACATTGCTTTATTCCTCCTATGGTAAAACGTCTTCCTTTAGGGTAAAAGTTTCATGGTAGGCAGGGAGAATCAACACCTGGAATTGACGCATTTATATTCAGACTTTTCTCATAGATTTCTGACCTATTGTTCTCTTCCAGATGTTTCTTAGTTTGCTTATTGGTGCCAGGAGGTTTTCTTCTCCAAATTTATAAACTAAACTGTCATACTGACGTACTATTATATATTTCCCACATATATGCAATAGTACATAATACTATTATATAAGATATAATTATGCTCACACAACATATATACACACACACAAACACACACACATAAGATTTTGGTGTTTAGATTTGCAGTGGAATGGTATTTGTGTTGAACTGCTATATTCAAACAAATGCATGAAAAACTATTTTGTTCTTTTTGTTTTCTTCTGTTTCTGTTTTGGGCCACACCCAGCTGTGCTTAGTGCTTACTCTTGACTCTTGTTTTCAAGGATCATTCCTGGTGAACTCAGGGGACAATAAACCATCGGATTGATTCTAGATCAGTTTTGTAAGACAATCTCCCTAACCACTGTACTATCAGTCTACCCACACATGATTGTGGAATAATAGTATTGTCCACATGGGCAAAGGACCCAGAAATACACTCTCTTTATTTTGTCTTCTGGGATCTGTCCACACCTTGTTTGAGGTTGCTACATTAGATTAAAATATACATTGAGGTGTTGGGGTGATGTCTCAAAATACTGGAGCATATACATTGCAAACATATGCAATATATGCACCCCACGAGCAATGCCGAACATGTCTTAGTGGCCTTGTGCAGCACGGTATCTTTGAGTCAATCATCTTGGTGCCAATTATTGCCAGGATTATTCCCCAGGCTGCTAAGCACAATAATAGATAGATAGATAGATAGATAGATAGATAGATAGATAGATAGATAGATAGATACATACATACATACATACATTTGAACAAGTAGTTGATTTAAATACATTTTATAGTTTGCTGATTCACCCATGACATTAAAATATATAGAGGCATATATTACATAAAATATATGCAAATTCTTGCTCCTTGACCCAAAAGTACTTGTGGGCTTCTTGATGTCTTTTGTTCACAGCTGCTATGGGCCTGTTGTTTTCATTTTGTTCAAACTAGGAGCACTAAGAATGATTCACACTGTTCCTTGTGTAGTTTAAATCTTGTTATTATATATTTGTTTTGGGGCCACACCTGGCAGTGCTCAGGATATGATCTTAGATCTGTGCTCAAGGATTACTTCTGACAGAAATGGGGGTGGGGGGTATATGGAATGTGGGGGATGGAATCCAGGTTCACCTTTTGTAAGACAAGTACCCTACCCACTGTTCCAACACTGTCTCATTTATTTTGGCTGACTTATAGTACATATAATTTTACTAGTTCCCCAATAGAAATATGACAACCAATGAAAACTTTATAGAACATGAATTTCCCATACAATGTGAGACAAAGGAACTTTACAGTCCTAGAATAAGGTGATGAAAGCAATGTGTACTCTATAAGTTTAACAAGGCAGATGAACTGTTGTCTTTGTCAGGGGCCATCTGTCTATGATGTGGGCTTTTTATTAAACTTAGTAAAGAAGGAAGAGAACTGCATCTATTTTTTTTAAAAAATTATTAACATAATAATACTGATTTGTAAAAGTCTACTACGGTTGTTTCGAGTACATTGATGAGTGGAATGATACTTATTCAATGCTTATTTCAAGAGCAGAAAAAATGACCCAATTTTTCAATGTCAGAATTTCACAGATCTTCTTAGAGTATTTTCAGCATTATTTACCTTTAGAAGTTATCATGGATGTGCTCTTATTTTTATTTCCCAAGCTTCATTCAGACCAAGATAAAGGAGATGGATCGCTCAAATATATTTTATCTGGAGATGGAGCAGGTACACTTTTTATTATTGATGAAAAAACAGGTGACATTCATGCCACAAGAAGAATTGACAGGGAAGAAAAGGCCTTTTATACGCTACGTGCACAAGCTATTAACAGAAGAACTTTGAGACCAGTAGAACCAGAGTCTGAGTTTGTGATCAAAATCCATGATATCAATGACAATGAACCCACATTCCCCGAGGAAATTTATACAGCTAGTGTTCCTGAAATGTCTGTTGTAGGTGAGTAATTTAAAGAATTCATTCTGGTATTCTAATACTATAAAAATCACTACCAAGAATTCTCTGATATTAAGGTATATGAATTTAAATCAGTTGGTCTTCTTTTGAATATATGTTTAAATTTTATCATTTAGGAAATGATTCAGAAAAAATAACTGCATACTCACTTCCCATAGATTCATGAATTTTTATAAAATAGTGATTTCACTAATGAAGAAGTCAGTGAATCTCAATGAAAGGTTATAAATATATAAATTTTGTTGTATTTTCTGGTTTATAACTATATAAAATTCTGATCGCAAATATAAAGACATTTAGAATAACATCCAGGATATTTTATGTTCTTTCATATTTTTTCCTTATTTTTCTGATTTTAATTTAATAACACTAATAACATTAATGAAGTGAAATTGCCTCTCATTAGTTGATCTGATATCACTGTCACTGTCCTCCTGTTGTTCATCGATTTGCTCGAGCTGGGGGGGTCCCAGTAACGTCTCCATTGTGACAATTGTTATTGTGTTTGGCATATCGAATACATCACAGGTAGCTTGTCAGACTTTGCCGTGCGGGCGAGATACTCTCCATAGCTTGCCGGGCTTTCTGAGAGGGGCAAAGGAATTGAACTCGGGTGGGCCATGTTGGCCACTTGCAAGGTAAACGCCCTACCTGTTGTGCTATCGCTCGAGGGCTGGAGCGATAGCACAGCGGGTAGGGCGTTCGCCTTACAAGCGGCCAACATGGCCAACCCGAGTTCGATTCCTCCGCCCCTCTCGGAGAGCCCGGCAAGCTACCGAGAGTATTCGATATGCCAGACACAGTAACAACAAAGTCTCCAATGGAGACGTTACTGGGCCCGCTCGAGCAAATCGACGATCAACGGGAGGGCCTTTACCTTTACCTTTAATAACATTAATAACCATTAGTGTTATTTATTTTCTTAGCTAACTCATGCATATCAAGTATTTAAAATATGTTTTTAACATAAAAAATCCACTGGTATGAATTTTGAGTTTAAGTCAAATAGTTGAAAACCTAAACTCGTTCACATTCTATGTAAAATTACCACTTCAGGTTGTGGTTAATATAAGAAAAAGCAAAGAACTGAAATTTGTAACATTCAGAAAAATCTCGTTTTTTCAAAGCAAATAAATGAAGTTACACTTAAAGTCAAAGAAAAATAAGATTGCCTTAAGCTTTTTATTAAACAAAATATTACAGAGTGATAGCATTTGTAGCTCTGTGATGGGATTTAGTAGAAAGATTTCATTTGTCAGAAACAGAGAGAAGTTGAATAAACGAATGGGACAATGATGATACTTTTTATTATTATCACAGTGATGATATCCTTTTTCCGTTCTGCATTTCTCAAAAGCATTGTTCCCAGATTATTATTTAATATTTGCTTCATAAAATCCCAAGGACTTTAGGCAATCACCTTACTACAAAGCCCTTTTAAATGTCTTGAACTTTATTAAGCAGCTTCTAATAGTTCATGGAACTTGGGATCATCTAGGATTGTTTCTAAATTTAAAATTTAATCTATTCATAAAATTGTATTGTAGAGCAGATGGTAATTGTTTTTATAGTTAATTAGTGGAGAGGGGAAAGAAGAACTTACTTACTCCTTTGAGATTAGATCTGCCCTTTACAAGAAACCAGTGTATTATGGGAAAATGAATTTAAACATCAAATCTGAACATTTATAGTTACTGCACTTATCAGAACGTGATACATTGTTACATTTCCAAAACTACACCTGTTGGCTAAGCAAATAGGGAGCTGCGTTGGAGATTTCATGTAATAAATCGCTATATGCTTGTCATCTAAATTAAATGTAAATGTTTCTTTAAGAGGTCATTGATAAAACCAAACAATCATTAAGTCTTCCATGAAAACCAGTACTTTTGCTCCTCCTTCTGGTACTGTGCAGAACTAAGCTGAATTTGGATACTTCAGGTACTTCTGTGGTGCAAGTCACAGCTACAGATGCCGACGACCCCTCTTACGGGAACAGCGCCAGAATCATTTACAGCATTCTTCAAGGGCAGCCGTATTTCTCCGTGGAACCTGAAACAGGTCAGGAATCATCTCTATTTATTAATTTGCAGTCTATGTTCTCTTTATAAGTCCAAACTAAAAGGAGAAAACGTGAACAAAACCCTACCATTAACACTCATGGAACTGTGACGAATTCGCCCTGTAATTTTTAAGAACCCAATTAAATGATGAAATGGTTTTATAAAAGTATATGTATTTTAGAAGGGTGTCTAACAACAAATTAACCCTGGAACGCATTTGTACAGACTCGCTTTTTTACACTTTCCAAGCAATGAGGATTAACAGAGTTCATCAAAACCATTTGTCTTTTAAAAGTCATACTGCTGTTAGATATCCAAAGCGTGGTTTTAATCAGCTAATAGCTGAGATCACAATGAAGATAACATAAGGCATCCTTTGCTTCTGTTCCTTTTTCATTGTCTTTAAGGAATCATCAGGACTGCTTTACCAAACATGAACAGAGAAAACAGGGAGCAATACCAAGTGGTGATCCAGGCCAAGGACATGGGCGGCCAGATGGGAGGATTATCTGGGACCACCACGGTGAACATCACGTTGACAGATGTCAATGACAACCCCCCTCGGTTTCCCCAGAGTAAGCTACCTTTAATATCTTTCTACAGGGAAAGTTATCGAGCTCAAAGAAATAGCAGCTGTCACGAATTTCATCCAAACCAACTGAAACGTGTAGAGAAATATGTCCAGTGAGATAGCACAGGGGTTAAGGTGCTTGCATGCAGTGTGTTGGGCCCCAGTTGGGTCCAAAGTTCAACATACGGTTCCCTGAGCACCACCAGAAGTGATCGTTGAGTGCAAAACCAGGAGTAAGCCGGAAGCACAAGAGAGTACAAGGTGCCCGTCTACCCCACACTCCCCCATAAAAGAAGGAATTGTTAGAAAGTCTAGAATAATGGTTTATATTGATGAATTCACTATTATAAAATAGAAAATAGTCATGCTTCCTTCAGAGGCAGGAGGAGCTACAATCCCAAAATCTTCTCCTTAAGAATACTCTAAAAATATAATTCTGATCTTGGAATCTTTTCAGTTAGCAAAAGGAAATGAGCTTTATTGGAAAACAAATAAAGAGATTTCTATAATAAATACATTTTTTATTTTCACTTTGAATTTATTAAGGAAGATCCTAACTGGAGGGTAATTTTTTTTCTCATAAAATTCAATTTGACATATTACAAGAATACCCATAAAGGGTTACATAGGCGAATCTCAAACTAGTTGCATTGAATCCATTGTATCATATTGCATTTAATATCCCTGTGTTTGGAATGGAAAATATACAAACACTATGTTTTTCATGTATTGTTATATAGTTATCTTTTGTGACAGAATTAGCCTTCTACTTCTGAAAGATGTCAAGAGTAGTTCTAAGAAATATTAGATATGGGTTTGGCAAGATTTACAGCAGGTAAAGCAGTTGCATTGTGTGTGGTTGACCCTTGTTCAACCTTGTTCAACCTGGGCACTCGATATGTTTTCCCAACACCCCAAAATGGTCCCCTGAGCACCACCAGGATTGTTCTCTAAATGCAGAGTCCCAGGTAATCTCTGAACACAGCTTGGTGTGGCTTCCAGAACAAATATATAGAATATTTGAATAATTAGTTACTCTAATGTATAATAATATATAAGTAAATATACATATTAGATTGGATTCTGTAATACATGGTTTTTTGGAAGAAGGTAGGGATTGTTACGTATGAAACTAGCAAATAATTATTGCATCTCACTGCAGACTCAGCAAGATTAATGCTTTTCTAACAGCCCCTATTCTCCATAATGGAATTTTGTGTTATTTTGATAAACTGCAGGCCTTTGTATGAGGTGTGTCCTTAATATACACAATTTTCTGCGTATTAACCTGTTAATTGACGTCCTGTTGCTAATGATGTTTTAGTTTTAATTCTTTTGCAACGGTATGTTAAAGTACACAACACCAAATTTCTGTAGTAGTATTTAAATCAAATATTCAGAAGAATTATGTTTTAAGTATTCACTATATAGTGTTGATTCCCTGAAAGCATTTTACTGGTTTTCATTAGAATTTTATATTTAAAAATTTGAGTTGAATTTTTCATGTTTGAAAATATTACAGAATTTAGATATGATTTTTGAATGGTACAATATGTTACTACACTTGTGATGATATTCCTGTTACTTTAAAATACTTGACTCTTGGAACTGCTTTTGTGGTGTTTTGTCACTAAGCATAAATAGAATGATTTTCTATTAATAGAATTCAATTTTCTATTAATAGAATTCAAAAAGTATAATTATTTTATTTATTTTTTTAATCTTCTTTTTTGGGGGGGGTGACTTTTTTTTCCAGTTGATCATATTGGGTGCAAAGGATTGAACCCTTGTCAGCTGCATGCAAGACATATGCCCTGCCCTCTGGTCTATAATTAATCTGGCCTATAATTTTTCTTGTTATGTCAGAATTTATTAGTATTTGGTAATAACTTTATATAGCTCTGATAGGAATATAATAGAACTAACATTTATTAATAATGATAATGGCACAAACAACAGAATAGTATATATTGAGTGGTGATTATTTGATTAATTGATTTGTTTTGATATTTCCTTTTCGGGGGGGGGTTGGTTATAGACAGATGTGCTCAAGCTTTATTCTGGCTCTATGCTCAGAAATCATTGCTGGCAAGGTTCAGAGGACCTTATGGGATGCAAGGGGTTGAACCTGGGTTAGGCATGAACAAGATAAGCACCCTTCCCTCTACACTATTTCTCTAGACCAAAGATGTAGAACACATATAGTGAAATTTTAGAGTTTCTATGCCATTATCATTATTCTTTAGTTATAGATGCAAACATAAACTGTCCTCCTGTTGTTCATCAATTTGCTCGAGCATGCCCAGTAATGTCTCCATAGTGAGACTTGGTGCTACTGTGTTTGGCATATTGAATACATCGTGGGTAGCTTGCCAGGATTTGCCGTGCAGGCGAGATACTCTTGGTAGCTTGCCGGGCTCTCTGAAAGGGGTGGAAGAATTGAACCTGGCAGAGCCAGGCCAGCTGCACACAAGGCAAACGCCCTACCTCTATCCTATCACTCCAGCCCATTTTTATTTTCTCAATTGCACTTTGTGAAGATTATTTGCAACTCTTGGGGATTTTCATAGCTATTAAAATGTTAGTTATAGCCTAATACTGATGTCATCAAAATATTTAATGTCTAATGACATTTTATGAAATTGTAAAGGTATACAGGAAACTCCAGAGCTTTTAAAGTTATCTGCAATCCTCCATATGCTTCTATATTATAATAAGTAAAAGCTCACATTTAACTACATAGAAAGTTATTATTATCCAGTGTTTGGTAGAGTTAAAGAAAGTTTTAGAATTAAAATAAGTATAACTGAACAATGCTATATAAAAGAAATATAACACAAATTTAAACTATATTCTGCACCCAACATTGAATTTTTTTCAGCCATAATTTGATCACTTGACATCCCGTTACTCATGGATTAGCTCTAGCGGGTGCCAGTAACGTCTCCATTCATCCCTGTTGCGTGCTAGTATAGCCCAATGGCGTGTGCTAGTTCTAGGAACACAAAGAGCCTTAAACTGATTGTTCAAGGTCTTGACGAAGAAGTCTGACCATCTCATACATAGGTGGGCGGTCACGCGGTCTTTTGATGTCCCATGGAATCCAGTCGGTAACGGCTTTAGTCCAGTGCTCATCTCCAAATCTCATTATGTGTCCAGTCCATCTGATTTTCGACGCCTTGGCAAACGAGATAACGTCCCTCATCTTTGACCTTTGACAAAGGTCAGAACTCTGGATTCTTTCTCTCATTTGAGTGAAGCGTGATACTCCAAGCATAGCTCTTTCGATTCCTCTTTGGGAGACCCGAATAGCATTCTCATCCTGTTTGCGTAGGGCCCAGGTCTCTTAGGCATATGTTAATGCACGAAGAACAGTGGAATTGAAGAGATGTACCCGGAGCCGGAGGTTCTTTTTCCTCTTCGCTATTTCTTCGACGCTCTTGAAGGCATTTTATGCCGCTTTCTTTCTCCTGAGCCACTCAGGTGCCTGGTCATTTGTCATTTTGGCTTCTTGACCTAGGTACACATAACTGTTGCATTTGGAGATGGACGTTCTGCTGAGAGTGAATGGAACTTCAGAAATGAGACTGTTTCTCTTAAACATTGTCTTCATGAGATTCAGCTGGAGTCCGAGGTTTCCGCACTCATTATCAAAGTCGGTCAGCATTTGTGCCGCTTGTCTAATGTTTGGTGTTATTACAATGATGTCATCAGCAAAGCAGAGGTGGTGTAGTTGCCGACCATCTATCTTCACTCCCATTCCTTCCCATTCCAGTCGTCGCATGATGTTCTCGAGGGTGGCACTGAAGAGTTTCGATGAAATGGTATCACCCTGCCGAACCCCTCACTTGACAGGGATGATCACTTCTTTGTAGAATGCTGAGATCCCGGTAGTGAATCCATAATAAAGCTCATGGAGGATCCTGATGTATTGAGTTTGAATGCCCTGATTGGCTAGGGCTTCGATGACTGCTTCTGTCTCAACAGAATCAAAGGCCTTTTTAAAATCAATGAATATTAGACAAAGTGGCATCTTGAACTCCCGAGAAACCTCAATGGTTATTGTGTGGATATGGTCAATCGTGCTGAATCCTTTGAGGAACCTGGTTGCTCACATGGTTTTCCTTCATCTAGTGTTCTGTGAATCCTATTCAAGATGACTTGAGTGAACAGCTTGTAGATGACAGAAAATAGACAGATCATGTGATAGTTACCAATGTCGTGGATATCCCACTTCTTGTACAGTAGTACAGTCCTGCATATTCGATATGCCAAAACCAGTAAATACAATGGGTCTCATTCCCCTGACCCTGAAGGAGCCACCAATATGGCAGCATTGATAAGGATGTAGAAGGAGGGTCTGATAAAATCTCAAGGCCAAACTAGGCTGCCAAAATGAAGAAATACACAATTGACTGTCTGCACTTTCAATGCACGTACAGTGGCATCAGATGCATCCATAGAGGACCTGATGGTACAAGCATGAAAGATCAAGTACGACATCATTGGTCTGACCAAGACAAAAAGGCATCAATCACATCACATCGTTTTTGACACTGAAGAAGAACTGTTCCTCGGAAGATGCGACAAAAGAGGTGTTGGTGCTTTGGGTTTCCTTGTCAACACGAACTTGGCCATGAGCATTGATTCATTCGAATGCCTAACAATCTGAATCAGACAATTACACTTGAATAGATGTGGCTCACTGCCGGCAGTTTCTATCTTGGTTGTCTATGCACCAACATCCAGTTATGATGGAGAAATTGAGAAGTTCTACACGAAGCTGAAGAAGTTCTATAAAGAAGACCACACCTTCTACAAGATCATTGTTTGTGATTTTAATGCCAAGATAGGACTGAGAAGATCAGCTGAACAACTCCACATTGGGAGCCATGGCCTAGAATGGAATGAACAGGGTGACAGACTGTCTGAGCTCATCATGTCGACCAAGACCATTCATGGTAACTCACAGTTCCAGAAGACCAAATATAAATGTTGGACATG